ATTATGCGTTTTGGCATATATGCAAATGCAAAAACGCATTTCGTGATAACCCATGGTAAGCGTGTGCATGTTGTGTGCGTGTGTGTGTGTGTGTCTGCCCGGGTACAACTCGGCAATCAAGCAGGCTCCGGCGCTAAAATTTTGCCAGTGGGTTCTCCGGCTAAGTGCGGCTTCAAGATTGTTTACGAATAGTAAAGGTGGGACCAAGCAGGACAGTAATGGCTCTGCATCTTGTAAAAAATTGAATATCGGGTGGTTTTTATGCGTTTTTTGCAGCTATGCAATGCAGAAAACGCATATTAACGAGGGGTTGTCTATGTGTGCGCGCTGGGCGTCTGCACTGATTTTTCATCTCGAAACCTACATATCTTACAGGGCTCACTCTTTGAGAACTTAATCTACATGCATGTACGGGTCTCCATCCCCAAAATGGGTGGTCCTACTCGCGTGGTACCCATGCAAGGGCCCGCCAAAGTTTTTTCGGCGAGTTGTTAACTCAAAGACCTGAAAAGCTAGAAGACTGGAATTTTAAGGGCATGTTCCCCGTCCACGTAGGTCCTAATGAGTTCAAACGTAGTTCCCGGATATGCGTGGTGCCTATTTACGAGCCTGTGAAAGTTTTCGCGGGTAAGTTACTAACTCGGGAACCTGGGAACATGCCCCATATACGAACATGTGGGGCATGTTCTCAGGAGCCCCGACATACGAACATGTGAAAATTTTTAGCTGGAAAATCGACAGCTCGGGAGTCAGGGAAGCTGGAAGGCTGAAATTTTGAGGGGATGTTCCCTGGTCAAATACCACGTATTTGCACAATTATACTGCTGAACTTTGAGGACTAGTATGACACAAATTCTAGCCACTGCGACCTTACTGCAGCATGAAATACTGCAAAAACGCATAACTGCACAGGCCTGGCTTGTGCGTGTCGCCAATAATTTTGAGTAGTTGCATGGGACTGAGAAAGGTAAAGTTCAGTTCAATTAATAATAAGTGCTATGAGTGACGACAATGCAGTTTGATGTGTTTAGAAGTTGGCCTTCATTATAGCATAGTGATAAAGTACCTAAAGCTGTTTGCTGCAAACTGCGATTTGTACCGGATTGTTCAGAAGCATCCCCCACGGAAGTTGTGGGAACGGGAAGGGATCGCAGCAGTCGGTGAGCATTAGCACCACGTACTCTTTCAACCCAACGATGAGCTGAAAGAGTACGTGGTGCTAACGCTCACCGACTGCTGCGATCTCACTTGTCCGAAGACTAGCGGCT